AAAAGAAAACTTTTTTCGAAACACCTCCTGATGTACAGTTGCCACTGTAATTCAGGCAGATGTTCGTGAAAACAAAGTTTGTTCAAGATGGCAGTTCAGACGCGTCGTACATTTCTGGATTCTAAGGAATATTTAGTCTTTCATCGTTTTTTTGTTCGGATTATTCGGAGAATATTTAATGATGATAGTGTTATCTGCAACATATTGTATTGGTTGAATGCCCAGCATTGGCCTTTTTGAAGATTGAGTAAACAAAGTTGTTGTCTCTTCCGGCAACACCAAAGTCAATAAGACGATGAATATTCATTAGAAAACAACTTCTTTCCTGGCTTCTTGCCACGTAGAACATTGAATTATATCTGTTAAAAATCCAAAAGGAGAGCATGAAAATGAAAATTCTCTGAAATTGAGAATTGATAGCCTATCTGAAATCGGATTAATGATGAATAAAAATATATGGAATGATATAAAGATATAACTCACCAATATAATCAGAATAATATTATATAGGTGCATATACATATTTTCATCTGAAGGAGAATGCAAATTTTCAAGATTTTGTTTGCATATTCTTATCGTTTGTGTTCAATAGATATAATTCAATGTCCATCGTGGCATATAGCCTGGAAAGTAATTTTTTGAGTGAACCGAGAAAGAATCGATATTTTTCTACAGCTATATCACAACATCGCTCTTGTTTTACTGTGTTCGATACGTCAATGAGGTATTTTGGATGTCATCAATATTATTTCCGAATCTGTTTTCACAATGACTCCATTATGCTATTATTTAAAAAAAATCTCATCGCTCATGGAATGTCAAATGTGAAGCAATGACAGCTCTGTCTGATAGATGAACATTACTTGACAGGAAATCAAATGGCTACAAGACAAGAAAATGCCGCTCTAATCTATTATAGCCGTAGAAAAATTATAGTGTATAACTTGCACGGAATGCTAATTTCCTACTCGAATGATTGCAGCATCCGCTTATGGCTCATGCTGCAAACTTCATTCCCGTAGGAAATCACTATTATTTCGTGCTCGTTGACCAATGTAATATTTTCTACGGCTATAACACAAAATTGTTCTTGTTTTACTGTGCTCGATACATCAATGGGGTTCTTTGTTTGTCATCAATTTCATTCCCGTATCTGATATGACAATGATTTCATTGTGTAATTATTTCAGAAAGATCTCAACGCTCGGGGAATGTCAAATTTCAAGCAATGACAGCTCTGTCTAATGGCGCGTTCACATGACAGCTTTCGCCTATCGCGGAAAGCTTAAATAAAACGAGCGCTCTGTTCACATGAACTTCTGATAAAAGCGACGGTTGAGGAGACAAATTCAAAATTTAAAATTCAAAACTCAAAACATTCAACAAGAAAATGGAATTATTATTGTTCATGGAATTTCGGGACTATTATTCGTTTCGAACAACGTTCTTCACATATTCAAGTAACTCTTCATCATCTACAATCATTGAACTTCAAACAATAAATAACTCATTGAAAAACACAAAAAAACAATATATCAAAAAGTAGGAAACAATACTAACCAATTGACAGAATTCGGTTATCTTCATTGTTGGTGACCGTAAATTCTACAGAAATGTTTTTCACTATAACTGGAAATAGTACCAGTATTTCACTAATATTTAAATATGACTTTCCTCACCATAGTTGACAACAACAACTAACTGGAAATCGGAGCTTCTTTCAGACAAAAAGTCGGATCGTAATCGACTTTTTGGTATATGACCTTGATACGCGCTTTCACATAAATCGGCCAATCAATGAATCACAATACGCCATAAGCCAAGAGCCCTAACAACACGGGATCTTGCTGGTACATCCCGCTAAGGTCCTACAAATGTCCCAATGTTTCAGACTTAGGTACGATATCCCAGAGATGTTTCTCTTGGGACATCAGTCAGATGTTTTCATTGGATGTTCTAGAAACATCCCATTTGATTTTTTTTTTATAAACAATATCTTGGTTCCATATCTGCTAATGATGATTGACATGATTGAACAGTTCAAACAATTGTGACATTTGAAACATTGAGAAGTTGGTAAAAAATGGAAATCAGAACTGTATTCGTACATATATTATACTCATACCTATACCAAAGCCGGCTAATTTCATCGATATCAAATTGAAATAATTTTACTGAATATTCCTCAATAAGATTACCAAAGTACCTGCTTAACTTGAACCATGTTCTAAACGACAAAATCAAAATATATCTATCTCTTCAGAATATTTATTGCTGTATTTATTTGTTATACCAGCCGATAGACGTTGCAAAGAGTTACTAACAGCCGTCGGCCCAGCGCCAACAAATATGAGCCTCAAACAACTGTTATCATCTTCCATTAGTTATTGGACCGCACCGACCTTATATTTTCGAATTCGGATTGTTACTTTATATCTGGAAATAGGTCGGCCATTTTCAGGATTTCTGATTGAAAATAATTCATACCGTGTCATCCATTACTGTCATCAAACAAAAAATATCCTATATAAAAGTTTCTTTAAGACGTTCCATATCAAGTACCCTGAATGTCTCTGGTACATCCCGTAACATCCCACAAACATTCTGATGGGATGTTTATAAGACATTGCAAATGCTGACACGGGTGTTGCCAGCAACATCCCAAGAATGTCCCAAGGGAAATAGGGATTTTCCAGAGATGTTCCTATCATCCCATATGGATGTTTCTACGACGTCTTACAGATGTTATTGTGTTATTAGGGAGGCGAAAAGCCAGCATGTGAACGCGCCCTAATAGATAAGCATTACTTTACAGGAAATCAGATGGCTTCAAGACGAAGAAATCGAAAATGTCGCTGTTATCTATTATAGTCGTAAAAAAATTATAGTGTATATATAACTGGCACGGAATACTGATTTCCTATACTCGAACAATTGCAGCATTCACCTATTGCTCATGCTGCAAACTTCATTCTCGTAGGAAATCACTATCATTCCGTGCTCGTTGAACAATGTACTAATTTTCAATATTTACCAAAAGGTTCTATATATATTTCAGAATTTTATCTGTACCTCGTATCAAAATGCACTGCTCTTGTGATTTTCCTCTCGATTTCAGTTATATTCTTGAATATCAAATAATCAAAACAACTAACAACTATATATCCTATCTAGCAGAAACACTCTATTAATATTCGGAATGACTTACAATATTTTGGTGTAAAACTGGATCACTACAACATGATTTATTGCTTTTGTGGATCAAAAAACCTATGAGGACACAAAAAATGGCAATAAAAGTAGTTCGTTTATAGATCATCATTACTTGCTCACTATTACCGATAAAAAACTGTTCCTATTTCCCGTATCGTTAGTAACCCCTTGACCTTTGGTTTTGAATTCAAATTACGTAGGTAGTTTAGTGCATATACTACTCGCCAGATGATAAGAATTAATGATATTGACTATCGGCAAACCAATTTTTACACGTGTAGATGTTTTTGATACAATTTGGCAGAGGAACTATAAAGAACCAATGCGAAATAAAAATTCTGTAATTTTCCATATCTATCAGCAGCACTGAGGGCAGACCCATACAACGCATCGGCGTATAGTATATCATAATCTACACTTCTATACTCACGCTATATTATAATAAGGGAATATTTGATTGTATGTTTGTTTGTTTGTTTTAATTGAATAGGCTCCGTAACTTATGGATGAAAACGTAATTAATGAGAAGTGATATTTTATAACCCGTCAACAGAGATGAAATGCAAATCCTTTTTCCCGTCACAAAATAGTACATTGTTTACCGGGTAGGAAAAGCTTAACATTCCTGGGCGACTGTGAAGATTGCTAGTCGAGGCGCAAGCCGAGACTTAGCTAGCAACACAGAGTCCAGGAATGTGGCTTTTCCTACGAGGTAAACATACTATTTTTCCGCAAATCGTTTAAAATTCGACAGGTATTGATTGATTTTAAAGAAAAACGCGATAATTTTATTCCCAAATAAATGGTGCTTTGAAATTCCTGAAAAAATTACTTGGGTTACTATGGAAACGTATTGAGGTTGAATTGTCAAACTTGACGCCTATAAATTTAATTGCTGGTGTTCTCGAAAGTAAAATGATAAGTGATGATGAAATTTCCATTCCTGCTTCATTAGAATTATTGCCAAAGAAATCAAGAGAAAAGTACGAAAATGCATACAGACGTTTTATGGATTATCGCATATGAGTAAAAATACGAGTTCTTTCTCAGAAAATGTTGTAATGGCATACTTCCTAGACCTTTGTTTGAAGATGAAATCTCAATTATTCAATGCTGAAGTCAACCCTTGCAATTAAACACAATATATATATATATATATATATCTACATACTCAAAACTTCGTACTTTATTGAAACGGCAAGCTCAAGGTTATAGGGCAAAGAAATCTAAGATTTCAACGAAGGAAGAAATTGAAAAATTTATCCAGGAAGCTCCAGATGAAGAAAATTTAATGATTAAGGTAATTTATAAGGTTTTAATTTCTATTCAGATTATATCTTTATTTATTTTTTAGGTGGCTGTAATATTTGGTATTTCTGGGGCCTGTAGAATGAATGAGTTAGTCCGAATGACTTTACACGATATACAGGGCCTGATTAACCATTAGGCTGATTAGGCTGCAGCCTAGGGCGCGAAGATCGGGGGGGCGCGCAAGACGCGCTAAAATCGTGTCTTCGCATGAACTAATCTAGCATCATTGCATCTACCCTACATATTTCAACTAGACCGAGACAAAACAAAACTAAATGCGCTTGATTGTCCCTGATTTAAACACTGAATTTTGAAGTTTTAAAAAGGGCGCGTAAGAAGAAGAAAAAAACAAAAATTTCGAAAAACCGGCAAATTATTCATAATACAGTAAACACAAAGTTTCTTATGAAAACTGCATGAACTAGACGACAGTGAATTTATTAGAAGCAGAGCAAAGGAGTTGAAACAACTATATGCTATACTGATGTAGAAGAAACCTCTGCAGAAGAATGCGTCCATTTGGCGCAGTTTTCAAAATCTGACACCGAGGTCGAGCGATCTTTTTCTGCCAGAACCTCAAAGGGTTTGTTGCAGTTTATAAAAAGTTTCAGTATTTTAAGCATGTTCCCGAATGTGGAGATAATATTAAGAAATTCTTTGACAATGAGTGTTACCAACTGCAGCGGCGAAAGGTCTTTTTCAGCACTGAAGAGAGAAAGAAATTACTCACGCTCCACACTCCGCCAGCAAAAGCTTGCAGCGCTCTCTCTAATGTACATAGAAAGTGATATTCTTCAAACTATCGAATTTGAAAAAATTGTGGAAAGATTTGCAAACGCTAAAGCAAGAAAAAATACCTTATTATAAGCAAATAATAATTACTCAATTATTATAATTTTCAAATAAAACATTAATCAGTTGCAAAAATGTTTCACTTGTATGATGCCTCTCGTCTTTAAGATTACAGAAATGTAAATATATAAATAATACTTCAAGTCGAAAACTTTTATAGGTAGTATGAACCATGTCAAAATTTTCATACTAGTAAACAAAGTCAAGACTAATATACTACTTTTTAGGCCGACCGTAATACTCATGGCGGGTGCGTGTCCTCATAATTAGCCTAGGGCGGTCAGAACTCTTAATCAGGGCCTGACGATATAGAAGACCTAGAATCTAGGCTTTTAATCAGCATACCTGATTCGAAAACCAACAAACCAAGATCATTTGTAATTAATCAGATCTACTTGAATGTTTATCGAAAGAATGAAAGAAACATGGAATCACAGAAAGGTACCGGCTGTCCCATTTCGATGTCCTTACGATATATCTCACTTATTTTCAAAGATAGAGATTTGTGGTTTTCGCGAATGTTGGCTACTTTGTGTGAATTTACGATACCGCGAACGAAATGCCCATAACTCGCTTCGTTTTTGAGATACTTACTTACTATCTTACTTACTTTTTATTCATCCTTCAAAAATCATTTTACATGACATTGGATAAGTCAATTTTAGGAAGCTATAGTAACAAGTTACACAAAAAAGAACAGAACAGGACAGCTTAAAAATATAAATAAATTATAAGTTGGATTTCAAGTTGAGAATTTAACAATTTAAAAAAGACAGCACAGCAGTAAACAAATCATCTTTACATTTTTTCATGTATTCGTCTAGGGATTAATATGAATTTTCAGTCAGATATTTTTTGAGTTTATTTTTGAATTTTATAGCATAAATTGGTGACTTTCTATACTGATATTTATGGAAACGACCCAGATTCATGTCGATACTGAGCGAACTTGTATCTCATTCATCTTTCAACTTATCGAAACATTGAAAACTGTTTACTTTTAGTTAATTCAGATACAACCCAAAGTTATGGTTTTTGAAATGGAACACCCTGTATTTTTGAAAAACTGATGCTCTGTGCTTTTTAAAAACATATAATACTTATGAGAAATCTCATTTGAATCAATTTCTTGCATATCGCTGTAATATCATAAGAGTTGGGAAACGTGGCTACATTTTATAAAAAGTTCCAGGAGTGAACTTGCTTTTCTGAAAGAGATCTTCCAAAACGTGGAATTGCATTATTTCCATTTGAAATTTGCTTCTACATGTAACAATGTGGGCACATTGTACTCTGTATGAAGAATTATTGTTTAAGTGAAATATTTTTTCCAAACCAGCTGTAGTTTGGTGTTTTCACGATTTAGAAAATACTAAAAGAGAGGGCTGTGATGAATGTATGATAATGGATAGAATTGAGATATTCTTTTCAACATGAAGCTAATATCATTGCATCAGATTATTATCTATGGAGACATATGAAACAATTGGTCTATCAGACTGAAGTCAACGCCATAAAAAAACTGATGGAGGAAGATGATTGAAATGATCAGAAATGATAGGTAAATTATTAGAAAAATCATAAGAGATCTCCCGAAGAGATACGTATCCTGTATACAGGAAATACATAGAAATTGTAGGAGGACAATTTGATAATCTTCGTTGAAGAATATTAGGCTACAGACAAATCTTCATCGGAAATTAAAATTGTTTCGTTCTTCTTTCCAGAAACCTAGCCCAGTCCTGAACTTTTTCATTGAATAATACCTTTTCTCAACTCTGCTATTATATCAATATATGCAAATAAAATTATTTGAATACTATTAGTCGAATGTATATACAGAGTAATATAGCACTACCAAAATAGTAAGAACCTTGAATTTCTGATGTGATTTCATGGAAATATATAATTTATTCGAGGAATCAGAAAGTCGAGAAGAACCTGAGTTTATTTATCCTTTCTGGAATACAAGTATTTTGATTCCTAATCGTTCGATTCCCTAAACGTGCAACATCTTCCCCTTCGTTCGTAATATCAAAAGAGTACAAATGAACCCACCCAGAATAATATAGATAGGTATAACCGAAAGCCACTGTTCAATGTATAAAATTCATTCCTCAAACATATCATCAAGACGATATTTTTTCTTCCTCTTGCTTGCTCTTTTTCACCCTTTTTGTGAACCCCTTCCATTGCTTAAGATGGAACTCAGTCAGGACTATTCTCGTTAGTCAAATCGGATGGTTTTCCTTCAATATCAAAGATAATTATGAATTATAACAAAAACATTATATTTCCATGCATTAAATTTCCACCAGACAGAAAATATTTACTGTATTTAATTTTTTCTCCTGTTCGATCTTTTCTTCCGATAGCATTTATCCATTGTTGTCGTCTCTTCTTCACAAATTCACTCAAGTATGCTGTTTGCATGTTTTCTCTTAATTACGAAAGTTGAATTGGAATACAAGTTTTTAATATTGATTTTTAAATTAGAACTAGAACTAAAGCAAATATTGGTTCAATTAACACAGTTAATGCAATGTGTGCGCCTACAGGCCGCCATCTTGAATTTAATTTGACAGCATCGCGTGCAAGATCTGTCAGATGACCTACCCTGGAGGTGAAACATTGAAACACAACCTCACTTTCCTTTATTGTTTACAACGGATCATTTATTCTAATTTCTAATTTCTTGTCGTTATTCTGTATTTAATTAATAACTTCAGGAGTAGGATGATGGTATTGTTTCTGGTTTCAATGAATAGTTAATAGCTTGGTTAACAGTCGATTGGTATATAAAAACAAATTCATGATATGTGTCATCTTTCAAACCAGATATTTATACCTAATTGCACTGTAATATTGCTATCAGTTTCGACATAATCGCGAAAGGTGTTTGTCTCGACCCCTTGTATCTTGAGAACGAATGCCGTTACGAACATTCTTCACTCAGCCCACCCAATTTATTTTGCATTATTCCACCTACCCTATTTTCAGAAACGAATATATTATGTATCATATTAAGGATTTCTGCAACTTCAATTTCATTAATTCATGGTTGACCTAGAGAGATCTTTCTGTAGAAGTTACGACAATACAACTTCAAATCTAAGTATTCGATGCACCCATTCATCGGATGACTACTTCACCAATAATTATATGAACTCCTTAGATTGTGATACAGAGTGAATTGAAGACACAAGGATTAAACTACAGATCAATATATTGATGGAATTTGCCATTGAATAACGATCACCCAATATGAGGTAGTACGATGATTATTTTTGAGGGACATTTCAAGTATGCCTTAGTCGATTTTCAAGAAAAAAAAGGACTAATAGTCGTTTTTTAAATGTTGACCCATCAATCAAACGAAGAAAGGCCTTGTTAACTTTTATATTTTAGATGTAATCATTGATGATATCTCGGCAATTCATTCTTGAAACCTTATGTAGGGTAGGATATATCTATATAACAGATTTTTTTTGGAGTAAGATCTCTAACGTCCCTGGTTTTTAGATTTTCTGAGTTCAAAAGAATTCTATCAACATGTTGACTGGGGCATTTCTATTTATCTCTTAGTTATGAAATCTCCTTATTTGAGTAGAATCAGTGAATTTCAGTGAAATTTGTTCTATCTGCTAAAGTATCATACAGTGGTTTAAAAAATACTGAATATTATCAGTGGTAGAAGACATGTGTTATGAACAACCAAAGTATTTATTATATTTTAATTCATGAAAAAATATAAATATTATACTATAAGATCCATTGTCATGTTGTCATGCATTTTCCGGCATCAATTTCTGAGATAACTCTGAAGATGAATTTGTATAACGCAGTGGAAAGGTCCTTGGCTCTCAGAAAATCTGTGTGGCCCCATATTTTCCTTGGAACGACATGATATCCGCAACGAAGGGCAGGTTGGATTTCTGAGTAGAGTTCTTCAGCATTCTACAAAAATTTTCATCATTACAACGAATTCATACCACACTACGAAAAAACTAATCCTACCGCCCTGATAGCACAATTATGTTGCATGGACATCCTCAGGACGTCCATAGGACGGTCGAATTTGGTATCGCGAATATCCATTGGACGTCTGTGAGACACCCAAATGTTCCATTTAAGGACCAACTAGGGACGTCCTTAAGGGTTCCCTCTGGGACAACTATCGAATAATCAAATTCTACAGTATTTTTCCCTTCATCAAGCACTACGGAGGACATCCGTGAGTCAACCTCTAAGCAATGGTGGAGGATATTAATTTGATGTCCATAGGATATCCCAGGTACGCACGAATCATTCTTGGGTCTCATAAGGACATCCAGTTGAGTTGATGGTTCGTAGACAGTCCCCAATAGATACTGAAGAAGGTTTCTAAAAGGTCCCATCAAAGAAGTTTCTCAAGGATGTCCAATGGACTTCCGTAAGGGAGTTTTTATAACCTACATGCAGTCGATCGTCGGCGAAATGTTAGTTAACGTCCGTGCAGAGACGAGACTCGTGGACGAGACAAATTAAACGTACCGACTGATGAGACGTCCGTAGGACGATATTTCTAGGACATTGGAAAAAAAAACCATCATTCGTTTGCGTGATGGCATTTATGAAGAATGTTTTCCTGAAGTCTTGACGCCAATGTGTATCAGCGATGGATATCCCTTAGGATGTCCATAGGACATTATACTTGGGACATTTTATGAAATTATATTCCCCGAAGAATATTCTTGTAGATACTCATCAGTCAGGTGAACAGATGGCTTATCAATAGGAGTTCCTTCCGAAATCGTTACAGTTCATGAATTAATTGGGATATCCGAATGATAGACGATCCTGGAAATATTAAGGGCTTCCGTAGAAGAAATGTATACCTTCTGGGACATTTCATGGTTGTTCTAGATGGGACATCAAATAAGATCTGAAGTCATGACAGAAAATGTACTACTTGGGACATCTGAACATGCTGAGGACGTCCTTGCATAAACATTTTACAATATTTACCACGTGGGACGTCTACACGATGCTATCATACTAAGAAATTTGAAATGATATACCACCTGGGACATTTCATGGACGTCTTTGCTCGGATATTGCTTGAGATGTACGGATGGAACGTTCCAAGGACAATTATTTCAGGTCTAGGTCATTCGGACTTGAATTGTTCGAAATAGGGACGTTCCTAGGACGTTGCGTGCTATTAGAGCGGGTGTCCCAGTATACCTGTTTCAACAGTGAATTTGTTCTGACCATTTCGAAAGTTGAAACTTCTCAATTTCTACATCCTGTTCATACGGAAGTAACTCTTCCTTCTCTATATCAAATGGCACTCAATATATCATTATTCCTTCAGTTTCTGAATTGTACCGAAAATCACCTCAGCAACGTTATATAACATTTTGAATTCGCTTTCGACATTGATTGAGTATGACTTCGATACCCCCAATAATGTTTCACTACTTATACCAGAGAGGACGTTTTTGGAATGTTGAAGTCAAAATTGTACGAAGCCCTGGAAGGGACACATAAAATTAAAAAAATAAAAACTCTTCAAAATTCCGAGTTATAACTCGGAATTTTACATCAAAATTCCGACTTATATCTCGGAATTTTAAAATTTCGTGTTATAACTCGGGATATCGGATGTAAAATTCCGAGTTATAAGTCGGAATTTTAAAATTCCGAGATATAAGTCGGGATTTTACATCCAATATTCCGAGTTATAACACGGAATTTTAAAATTCCGACTTATATCTCGGAATTTTACATCCAATATTCTGAGTTTTAACTCGGAATTTTGAAATTCCGAGTTATAACTCGGAATTTTACATCCAAAATTCCGATTTATAACACGGAATTTTGAAATTCCGAGATATAAGTCGGAATTTTGATGTAAAATTCCGAGTTATAACTCGGAATTTTAAAATTCCGAGTTATAACTCAGAATTTTGAAGAGTTTTTATTTTTTTTATTTCATGTGTCCCTTCCAGGCCTTCGTCAAATTGAGGTTACCCAATCCTTTTAACTTGAAATTTCAAGTGAAATGTTGTCTATCAACTTGAATATTACTATACTGTAAGGTTTTTTCGAAGTATTGAAGTCAACATATCAAGGTGACCCAAAATTTCGTTGCATATACTATAGTTTGATTTGAAATTCCAACTGGCTTTCTATATCATCTAGAATATAATACATCGCTGTAAAAGTTATTTTGATGAGGAATCGGGAACGGACAATTATACAGGGTGTCATTGAAAAAAATAGTAAATTCTAGTTGGAAAAGAAGTGCCTATGCCAATTTTTTTTCTTAATAAAATAATAGTTCTTTCGAATATTCATGAACATCTCAATACAACATTGAAATGATTGAAGTATCTGAATACAGAACAAATATACTGGGACAGCCGATATATATGAGCTATAAGTATACACAAAGTTTACAACATATCATTCTGTCGTCGGACTACGTCTTCCGAACTGCTGAACACCTGGTAGAACAAGATGGATGACAGTGAGTGACGTAAGCGGAATAAGAGACGTCTTCTTCCCCAATAGTTTTGTTGTTCATAAATATCAATCTTACTTATTACGACATACTCCATTGCCTATGAATGAATGAATGAATGAATGTTTATTTACAAAAGGTTACAGTACATTATTTTTACAGAAGGTTACAGATATAGTGTTCATGCAATGAACAGTGAAATATAGTTCGTTACGGAAAGAAATACAGCAGTGAATAAACAGGAGAGAGTACCCGACTAAGTTCATTTGAGAACTTGTCTTCGAGTATTACCAATCTGTTGAAGTTTACTATTGAGCATATGTGTCCAGTTGAATCATTCGACTTTAGTAGAGATGGACGAAAACACCAGTCAACCCAAGATGGTACGAACAAGGTCAAGCCGCGTATCGGCTATTTGGCCTTCAGAAGACAATTCATCTTCCCCTGGAGGGTTCCGGGGGTTTCGTCCAGAGAATTCTTTTTGTGCATAGGCTTCAGGGCTTTGCCATACAAGCACCGAGACAATTCTTATAATATTCACAGTCTTGGATATAAATCAATATCAGGTGATTGCATTTTGCAAGTTAATGCTATACTGAGAACAAAAATTCCCAACCCTACTTATGGGGTTCACCAACAGGTTCCCAGAAATTCAACTAAAAAACCCACGAAAAGCACTTTTGTCTACCTGTAACTAACCTTAGGAAAGTGTGCATGGAAGTTCAGTAGATTTTTCAATACAAAATATCACCATTTCAGCAAACTTTCCTTGATGAAATATTGAGGATAAGAGTAAGACAGGGTTGACCCAAATCGAAACAAACACAATTGTGAAGTTGACTCCTACGATACGTTTATTTTCAATGGATTCCGTGAAGCATCATAAGTGTTAATCGGTGAGATGGAAGTAACTCCATCTCGAAAATGGTAAGCTCTAGACACCTATACGTCGAAAAGACATTGAGAAACGTTGAGTGTCGGTGGTTAAGTCGCGGGAAATAACGTTTTGAGTTGAAAAATACGTTTTTCCAACAAATTCATCAACGAATCGTTAGATGGTCACGTTGAAACGTATTCATGTAACGTTTTTTGTCATAAACAAACTGACAACGTCAAAAAAAACTATGAATCAACATACCTGTGCCTATTGGAAAGGGACCAGCATCCCAAGTGCAGGAATATGTACGAAATATTCAATCTTATATAGATATCATACCTTTGAAGTACGTCGTTCTTTCTGAGATTGAGACACTAGTAAACAGTAACGTTATGCCAGATAACACTATACCTACCCACTGAGCAATGACCATCCCGGGGATGTTTGTTAAACTTAATATCTTGTAGGTACTTTTTATGACCTTTCTGAGATTACATCTCCAAAAAGTGATAATAACATTCTTGTGGGACACTTTAATTTGTCCCTCATATGGACAGATTCTGCTACATCCCCAGATATAGGTCGCTGTTTCATAACAGTGAACTGACCTATGCACTTCTATGTGATATTATTTGAGTCAATATTTCAACGCCTACCTACTCCAAATTATTCTTATTTCATCGACAAAACATTTTATGTGCTTTTATCAATTTTCGTGGGACTATTATCACGAACCTGATTCAAATCATACACAATTTATTCTCATATTGTGCTATTTTGCTAATATCAGCCATTTTGAGTTTGAGTGATTAATTCGACGAAATTAAATATGCTGTCGTGGTTCACGTGGTTCGTGTTGTTTGTATCTCACAAAGTGTGAATTTTGAGGTGGAGTCAAGTCAAGACAATTAAGTGTGGTTTGGAAAACATGGTGTAATAGGTGGGTTGAGTTACCAATATAAGAACTTCCTGTTAATGTATCAGCACACAGTTGTGAGATTTTCAATGGCTTCAGTCAGATTTTATTTTTAGGTATCTTCCTCAGTGAATATATATAATTATGCTGTGGTGAATATAACTGGAAGTGCTCTTGATTTTTGTTGAGAATTTGCAGAGGCAAGAGTCACATATTCATTTTGAATCCTTATGATTTCATTCTCTGATCCAGAGTTCTCGAGAATTTTCGCTAAAAATGCATTTGCGTAGAACGTGTGTAGTAAAATTCGTTCCGTGAATCTTTATCATTTACTGACGCCACTGTGTACCTTTCTTCGATAATTATGTTGACTGATGATTGAAATCAAAAGTTGCGATTGAAAGTTTCATTACTTACAGAAGATGAGGCTAAGATATCATTAGATCCAACAAATAGATAGATTGGTACTGGAATTTTCTGAATATCATACTTGGGAGGTGTAGAATTCCCATATTTTCTCAAATTATTTTTTCTGCCATAGTCATAATTTCGGAAAATACCAGATTGGTATATTTGGAAATAGTGATGACAAGTTTCAACGCCTGCTGTATCGATAGTCTGTGTCGCAAACTGGGGAAATGTCAACTGAAAAAAAAAAAACATAAGGAGATTTATTATGCAGATATGTTTATTATTATGCAGGAAGACTTGATAATCTGGCCGAGTGAAATATTATTTTGATATTTGGGATAAAATCAGTGTGATATCCTGATGGAATGAAAATATCAGGAATATTA